TGAATTTAAGTGAGATGGAAAGCTACAGAGGGTTTCTAAGATGAGGAAGAAGTGATGTGGTTGATTTAAATTTTTCAAAAAAAATCACTCTGGCCACTGTGTGGAGGTGTATGTGTGCACGTGTGTGTGTGTGTGTGTGTGTGTGTGTGTGTGTGTGTGTTTCCACCCAACTCTGCTTCCCTTCTCTCTTTGCTTTTTGACAACAGAGACCTAACTGTAAAGCCCTCAACACACCATGCTTTCTACCCAGTGCCCATCCCCTCGGCCTGCAGCATTCTAGCCCCTGTCCAACTCTGGCCCATCCTCAGGTCTCCGTGCAAACGCTCCATACCGTGGGACACTCCCTTCTAAAGGAACTGGGCGCTTGACTCCGTGCACTCTACTTTGTACACTCTTCTATTTTAAATATTGATTTCTATGAGTCTATCTCCATGAGACTCAGCTGCCTAAAGGAAGGACCATATCTTTCATTTCTCATTTTCTCAGACCCCATCATGGTGCCTAGCATTAGTGCCTGGTCCTCAATAAATATTTTATGACTGCATAAACAAGTAAATTATATAAGGTAATTCTACCAAATTTCAAGACAAAGCATCAAAGAATACTCATTTGGGCATTCAAAACATCTAGAGATAAAAGGCACTAGGCCAGCACATTCATAAAATGCTGGCTCACTTATAAACAATTGTGTAAAGGTAGGAGTGAGCCAGATAAAAAGGGGAAGGGAACAGAATGTGCTAACACCTAGGAACAGGAAGCAACATGACGCATCTGGAGAGCCTAGAAGAACTGAAGCCTGGGGGTGAAGGAGGAGGTAGGCTGCTGGGAGCTGAGCACAAAAGGCCAGTGGGATAAAGTGAACTAAGTAGTGTGGACTTAACTCAGTCCGGCTTTAGTGTTAGACTAGTTACTCTGGCAGTGGTATGCTCGGTTACCAGGAAGCAGGGTCAATCTGGCAGCAACAGGACTTTGGGGCTGTTGTAACTGAGCCATGCAGATGTGACAAGACCCTAAACAAGGAGGGGAGACATAATAGACAGGAGAGAGCAGGTGATAGGGGTGCTGTGGATGCAACATTTATAGTGCTTGGAGTGAGGGTAGGGGCAGGAAGCACAAGGGGTGTCTTTCCAGATGGAGGCGGGGAGATGATCACTTCTCTAGGTGGGCTAAGCAGAAGGAAGATTTTTAAAGGAAATGATAATAAGTTCACTTGTGAATGTGATGCAGTTGAGGTGGATGTGGAGCAACCCGATGGGGCTGTGGAGTTGTCTAATGAGGAAGAAATACAGCTCTAAGGCTCATCAGAAAATTCCAGTGAGGAATTCCAGTGCGAAAATAAGGACTAGGGAGCCACTGAGTGAAAACTGACAGTTGGCGCAAAAAATTTAGACAGCACCCGAGAAAGGTGCAGAGGCTGAGAAGAGCAGAATGCCAAGGATGGGTTTATGGGGAGTCCAGGCAGGAGCCCATAACAAAGGGGAAGGGGCGCCTAGGGACCCAGGTCGGTGGGGCAGCTCAATGAATCTAGGAATGTGGTTTACAACTTTGGGTCCAAGACTACTGCTTCAGCTAAGCCCTTTCTCAGGTGGTCAGAAAGGGAACAAAGACAATCTAGTGAAATTGGCTTTATTTTTAAGGACATGACTCAGAAATTATACACATCGCAAATGCTCAAATCCCATCGATCCAAGCTTGGGCGCATGGATGCATCCATCTGCAAGAGAGTCTAGGAAATGTGGTGTGTCGCTGGGCCAGCAGATGCCCAGAGAAAACGGAGGATTCTAGTACGAAAAGGAACAAGGGGCGATGGATGCTAAGGGGCACAATTAGATTCTCAGATTGTTTTCTTTTAAGTACCTCGCTGATTTCTATCTCTCCAAAGCAAGAACGGCTTTGACCAGGGAAAACGAAAAGAGAAAAAAGATACCATTCGGAAACCTGAAGCTTCAAGAGAAGGGCAGGCGTGGGCGGGATGCTGGTGCAGAGGGAGCGTTGGTACGGCGAGCACAGGCTGGACCGAACAGAGTGAGGCTCCTAGCTCTGCCGCTTACCCACACAGGCCTCTTACGTGCCTACTTCCTAGTCTTATTTCAGAGGCTCACCGAGAGGGCGATGAGATCCAGTCTGTGTGGTGCCAAGCACAGCGCCTCGCACCTACCTAGTAAAGATTCAAACTGTGACTTGTTTCATTCGTTTTCTTCCCATTTTTAGAGGACAGGACATGCCAAGAAATGAAAAGAAGCTCAAGAAAAACGTTGGCTGGACACCAAACAACTGCCTACTTTGCAATTGTGCCTGGAACCCTGATGTCGAAGCTTAAATGAAAATCATGCTACAATGCCAGTTTGATACCAGTGCCTGCCATTCGTCTCCAAAGGTAGTTTTAAGGCAGGGAAACGTTATTATAGTTACTCTAGGATGGCACTAGCGGGCAGCCAGGTTTCAGCTACCAGAAGCTGCTGGTTGCAAAGACTTGCAAGGAAAGAGTTTCCTATGTCTGATTAAAACAACAGAAATGCATGCTTTTAAAGGTCAGATAATGCTATATTTATAAGCAACCTGCGTCCATTACCGTGATGAAGAAAAGGAGTAAAAAGAAAGCTGGACCTGAAAACTACTTGAGAACGCCACCCACTTATCAAAAAAAAAAAAAGATGGCAAAATTAAGGTCATGCAATGAGATAATCTCGTACATTAAGAGAATTAAAAAAAAAAAAAAAAGCAGCATCAGAATACATGATTACATTCCTTTTTTCTGGTTTTAATTCTTCATTGCAAACTTTTCACTCTTGTGTTTTACAGAACTCTAGGGATTTGTCCCCTAGGCTGTTCACTTAATCATTAGGCAGCAGAAGTTACCTGGCATGTCTCAAAGAACAGATCATTAACTGGAGAGGCTACCAGGGGTGAAAAACCTTTCTCTCCTACCTCCTTTCCAGCCCCTACCAACCTCTAGCCAGAGTAAAAGATGCAGAAAAGAAGTGGAGAAGTCCTCAGGTTGCCTTGGGCTGGGCCAGTAACAATGAGTTCAGGTGAACAATAATATATAATAGCAACCACACATTCTGGGATCCCAGGTAAAAAGTGAAGGTGCAAGAAGAGAAACCTCTTTTGGTTAGTTTTCAAGGTTACTAACTATTAAGTATAAACAAATCACTATTATTATTTTAATCAAAACATATTTTTGTTAGTTTATTCAAATGAAAGTATTTAGGGAAAAATACCTAACTTCAAATGAAAGTATTTATGGAAAAATATCTAATTTCAATTCTGGTCTAAAACTCAATACCATTTCTCCACTAACAGAAGAAAAAGAAATGGTAAAAATATCTTGCTTTTGTGAAAAGCTTTAATAAGAGATTTCTGATCAGAAATTTGAAGCACCATTTCTCTTCCTCTATCAAAAATTCCAGCTGAGAAGGAAGAAAACATTTTGGGGAAAAAAAGAGAGAGAGAGAATTTGCCAAATACAGGCCTAATGTTTTGAAAACGAATGCACAAAAATAATCTGAAATGAGTAGGACTTCAGTGCCTATGCATAATCATTAAAGCAACAACAAAAGGAAAGTCGGAGAGTTTTCTCTAAATAGACATTATGTTCCAGAAAAGATTTGGATTTGATTTGCATGCTTGGCATCCTTTTGACTCTGAAATGAAGTATTTTGAATGCTTTAGCAAGGCATCTCTCAGAAGTCACCTGTGTTGGTTTCATTTCCATTGTTCCATATTTATGCTCCACGGCTCACTTTCCACTGTTTACTAAACAATTTATGGTAATTTCAAATTTATTACAGTTTTTACAACAAAACCGTTTCATGGCACACATCACTCTATAACACAACTCCCCCTTGGGAAGCAAGTCAGATGCAAATCTTCTAGCTCCATGCTCTCCCACAATGCTGCATCACTACATAAAAACAGAGCCAGCAAACCACCACTTCCACTCAAAATCGCAGGTCTCAAGGTATGAACAGGTAGATTTTGTTTTAAAACTAAGAATTATAAAGAATAAAGGAGAATGAACAAAGGACACAGAAAATGAAGAGGGTACCACCCAATATCAACTTTTTGATCATCAGCAGCCTGTGGATTCAGGTCGAGAAGGCAATTAAGTTCAGCTGGTTCAAAGACACCGAGTTGGGAACAAGAAAGAAAGAAATAGTGATAGCTCTGTAGTTACAGACTGGGCTTCGGGATCAGAGGGCCCAGGTATAATCTCAGTTCCATTAGTTATGTGACCTCAGGCAAGTTACTTCACCTGTCTGAAACTCTGTTTCTGGAACCATAAAAGATATCTATGATCAAGTTCATATGCTTGTACACACAAACACAAGTGCTTAGTGTACTGTGGAAATTTAGTAAGCTCAATAAATGGAAGATATCATCATCATCATTAAACGTAAGCTCCATGAGGTAAACAATTTTTGTCCAGTTTTGGTCAATGCCAAATCCTAGTAGTGCCTAGCACATAATAGGCACTCAATAATATTTGGTGATTTATTAAAATAAAAATATAATACTTTTCAGAATAAGGGCGCTTCCAATCACCAAGTCCACAATTTCTCAACACATTCTCAAAATGGCTCTCACAGCCTTGGTAAGAGGCCATATTGTCCATTTGAAAACAACTGTTGTTAAAAACCTATATTCTGTTGTGTTTTTCATTTTTCACATAGCTAGCAATGACTATAATCATCTTTAAACCGGAATCAACATGTGTGCCTGGATACCTTTTCACTGCTTTTGAAGACAATAAAGCTTTTACTTTTAATGTGTGCTCAACACAAATAATCAAAAATGCCCTGCGGTTGGCTTCACTCCAAGTAAACAACCATTTAGCTAAATGATAATAAATAACTGCCTTTATTTGTAACCTTTCTCTCAAAGTATAAATGCTATCAACTTGAATAAGCCAGAGAAAACAATAAAGACCACGGCCGTGTGACCTGGTGTACAGGACTTTGCCATACTCTGGATTTCAGAAAAGCAGCACACGTTACCTTGGCAGAATGCTCCATGGTGACCACCACCTTGGTTTTGGCACTGGACACTAGATCCATCGCGCCTCCCATTCCTTTCACCATCTTCCCCTGCAAAACAGAATCAGAAAATAAGAAGCAATTCTCTCTTTCCCTTCTTTAGTATGTGGTAGAACAAAATTAACTTGTAAGATTAAGCCACTGGAATAATCAATGAGAGAAAAAAAATCATTGACCTTCATTGCTTAGCACTCGAAGGTTTACAAACTTAATATCGTGCTACTCTATTATTCTATGGTTAAAAGATAAGTTCAGGATGAATACTATGGTGTCACTTTTATTAAGTGTGGCTAACATTATTTTGTTGATAATATCTTAGCAATATGATGACCGATAGATATGAAAAATCTTAAGAACCCTTCCAGAATTCTGGCACATGATTATAGTAAGATGAGATTGAAATCCACATGCCCCTGACATCCATTCCTTTCTCTTTAAACACATAATCAGCACCACTGCGTCATCAATTACAGACCCTTTCCAAAGTGCCCTCTTGGATTTCCTGCAGATTAAATGCCATTAGGTAGTAGGCTGAGACACTAATGGTGTTTCCTTAGTAATGATTCATATTAAAGGTGGGTCTGTCTCTCTGAAACTTGACATTTATCTTGCTCTTAGAAAATCAAGCCAAAAAAAAATAAAAGATATATTCCTGTTTAGCAAAAAAAAGCAAACAGGAGCAGAGTTCAGGATCCTTTCACCATTTATTTTTGTTCATCTGTCCATGTGCTCATTTATTAAACATTTACCAACCAGCTCCTATGTGCCGCGCTCAGAATAATTCCCACTGTTTATTCTGTCTCTCGGTTACAGGGTTTTGTAAGAAGTAAGTGTTTCCAGATGATGAAATAAAGGTTTATTCAATTATCTGGAAGAGAAATATCTTCTAACATTGAAAACCTCCTTAAAATTTTATTTGTTTTTTAATCTAAGTCTTCTTGCTGATTTGACCGTCAACTCGTACAGGACTCTCGGCTCCTTTCCCATCATTTCATAACTAAGGAGATTAGGCAATGCTCTCACCCCTGGCTTTAAGACACAGTTTCAAATCCCCTGATTTCAGAAACATTTTAGAGGTCAAGGTAACACGGCATGAATATGCATTAGATGTATAGCACGCAGGAAAGGATTGTCATGATTTGGAGCCGGTCACTACAGAAGAGGAGTGGCCGCTGGCAATGGGTGGGAGGGCAGGGAGCAGGAGAGAAGCGGAAAGTACAAAATGAGTCTGTCTTCAGGCATGTTAGTTTTGTTATTTTTTTAATTTAATTTTTATTTATTTTTTTAAATTAAAGTTTATATATAGATGATGTGTCACCGAATGGTATACCCAAAACCTATGTAACTTTACTAATAATTGTCAGACGTGTAAGTTTGAAGTGAATCAGAGAATCTATGTAGAAATGTGTAATTTTATACTTCTCTAAGCCATGCCTTCCTTCATCCTTAGTCAGCTGCAATTTTGCTAAGTTAGGTACCAGGGTCATAACATTTCTGTAGACAACACTGGGTCCTTGGGCAGACTCTAAGGGTGTACGTGCTAGAAGAGTGAAGAAGCCAAAGAAAACCAGAAACTAAGCCAGTCTGTTAAACATTTCTTGAATGAAAAAAAAAAAGCATTCCTTGAATTAGAATATACCAGAGGCAAATTCTGCCCCCTGTGACACAATGATTATAGGTAAGAGCTTATGACAACCTCTACCAAGAAGCTTATCCAATTAAAGTGAAACTGAATTACACATTTTAAATCATTGTCAATTATTTAGAAATCTTTATAGAGCACCTACTGGGTACAAAATACTGTCCTGGCAGGAGTACAAAGAGCTATAAAATATGGTGGAAGGACCACCTCTTTGTTTCTGTTAAAAAGAACACTCTTGCTCTTGCTTGAGTCAGTATAAATCAACAGCCTTCATCACTCAAAGAGATTCAAGTGGTCTGATGTCTCCTCCTCAAAGCACGCGCTACAAATTTCAAAGCACAATTTTCATACTTAAATATTTGTTTCCAAGAGGAAAAATTACACAAGGCTAGGTGGAGAACACTTGAGATCTATTCTACTCACCCACTGTGTGACACTGGCAAAACAACAAATCTCTCTGAATTTGGGTTCGTTATCTATAACCCAGGAATAAGAATATCTGTCCTATCATAGAGCTGTCGTGAGCACTGCATGAAATAATGTATAGAAAACTGTGTAGTAAACAAAGTTTATAAATTTGGACTTACATCTTTATTCAGTCAATTCAGCTCACTGAGTGTCTAGTAAGAGCCTGGTGCTGTACTAGGTGCTGGGGTTAGAGATTATCAAAACAGGCTTCTTTTCCTCATAAACCTTATTGTCCGAGGGAGGGAACATATCCATGAGTCATGAGAGACTTGGACTAAATTTCCTTCCTCTGAAAGAAACATACCCCACTTCTCCCTCATCCCCAAGGCAAGGCCTTTTCCCTATGTCCTTGTGCTAGTCAGTAAGTAATTCTATCACAATAAATTTCAACTTTTTCTTTCCTTTGCTTTTTTTTTTTGCCTGGTTAGTGCTGGGATGAGTGTGTGGCCAGGTCAAACTAACATAGGTACGTTCAAGTTCTGGCAGAACACTGTAGATGCAAATGCTAACTGTGTCTGGGGAAGCAAAGAGGCTCGGGGGGGATTCACAGAAGAGGTGTTTCACAGGAGGAGTCGGCCAGACAGGGAAGAGCAGCAGTATCTCCTAAGAGAAAGCATTTCTAGCATGTTAACACAAAAGCCTTCAAATATTTGGTTTTTCTATTATTTTCAGTATGTTCATTGTATTAGAAAAAGAAAAGAAAATGTTTCCCTCCATTTCAATTCCCAAATGATTTCTGAAACTGAATCAATGACCACTGGAAAACAATTCATTCTGTCTATACTGGCAGGAAAAAAAAACAGCTTACATAAAACATAGTCTCCAATACAAGGGGAAAATCCATCACCGTCCTGCAATGCGGCTTCGCAGGCACTCTTTGGGGACCCAACTACTTGTAATTTCCCAGTTCTCTGTTGCAGTTGGGTGTGGCCACATGCCTGACTGCCAGACAATGGAAGGGAGCAAGGTGATAGCTGTGATTGCCAGGCTCTGGCCCATAAAACCTCTCACATGCAATTCTTCAATCTTTTTTGCTTTCTGCAACCTGGACACTGACATCCAAAGTGACCTTGGAAAATACCCGAGCTTCCTTCAGTCTGGATCTTTAAATGACTGTTTGTAACAGAGCCCACTTAACTCGGAACCACATTGCATTGTTCAATAAGAATGTGTGTGTGTATGGGCGGGGAGGGAACATATAGGATGCTAAGCCACTGAAACTGGAAGCTTATTTGCTACAGCAGCCAGCGTGACTAATATAGTGACGTGGTGTCCAGATGGGTTCAATGCGAGTATGAGAATTCAGTGTAGAATTAAAACGAGCTGATAGAGTTCCAGAACAGAGCAGCAGCCTCTTAAGGGGATGTTTAACTACTATTCTTTGAGGGAAGGGGATATGTGAAGGTGCATATATGACAGATACTGAGCTAGGCACTGTAATTCACTTCCATCCAAATGTCCAACACACTGCTTGACATTTTACAGAGATGAGATACTGACCTCACCTCCATCTTCATCTCCCTCCTCCAAACCCAATATCCTAGTCAACATACAAAACAAGAAGCTGATAAAACAGAGAATTAAGGAGTTAAAAAATATATCTTTAAATAAATCACAAGAGGGAAACTGATACTTGGAAAAAATAGGCCTAAAATGAAGAAGGGATTCTGGGCATGACTGAAGCACAGGGCCAGGGTGACAGAAAGCGTGGCTTTCTTTAAAAGCTCATCAGCAAATGTACATTTCTTAAATGGAACAACTTTAGAAATGTATTCTGACTAGCATAATGGAGAGATGATTGCTGCATACTCATTTCATAGCCAACTCATCTTTTTTCAGGCAAGGACTGACCCTGATATCAAGTATGGAAAGAATATTGGGAGAAAAAAAAAAAGTGAGCTAGAAATACTGTGTGCTCCATTATGACAGTTACACGTCTTTTCTAAATTAAAAAAAAATACTAACTCAAGTATTGTCTTCAATTCATAAATATTTATTCAGGGTTTATTATAAACCAGGTACCAAGATAGGAATTAGAAAAAAAATGAATATAATTATCTGCC